AGTACCCCTGGCTTAAAGGAAAGAACAGAGCAAGTACAAACAAGAAAACAAAAGAAGTAAAAACATTTAACACTGAGTTAAATGAACGAAATATACAAAACATTAAAATGCCAATTTTACATCAACATCACTCAAAAATTCATCATGACAAAAATTAGTTTTTTTAATCAAAAAAAAAAAAAAACATTCTGAAATAATATACAAGTATCTGATTTTTTTCTCTGAAGAGTTTGAACTTATGTTACCTACTAACATAATGCATGAAAACTCTGATAGTACTGTATCTAAAATATATGTCTGTGAATGAAACGAAATGAATAGAGGAATGAAAATCTCAACTGACGAGCAAAGCAGTTACACAAATCATTGGCCAAACTACCCTAATGTTCTCCACAACATATCCTCAGCTGCCCAGCAATTCAAGTCAGGCTTTTCAATATCAGCTCAAAAGACCCAGAAGATACGAGCTTCTCTGTTAAAGCTGTTGAGTTTGCCGAAGCTGTCTTCGATAGCTCTGAAGAAATCTAAAGATTCTATTTTTTTTTTAATCAATTTGCACACCGTGGACACGCCAACAACAACAAACGAAATGAATCAATTGAAACTGCTCTTTAAGAGAATTACACTATTTCTTAATATTTATAAAAACCTCGCGCGATATATTGATAACATTCAAATATTTCAAACATCCAAAATTAAATATAAAAGTGTGATGTAGCTAACTACAAACTCCTCATTATCTCGAATAGTTATTGAACGAACGGGAATTATAAATGAAAGACTTAATATTTCAGAGATAAAATTTTGTTATTCACAATACTGTAAACGATTGCACTGATAGAAGAACCGTACAATCCTGAAATAGAGCGAAATCCTACCTAAAAATAACTTTTGAATTCCATTTAAAGATCTATCACTACAGTGCAGGCGTTTCCTTAACTGATTTTGAATTGAACTGACTGCTTAAATGGGTGAAATAATTTAATTATATTATAAGGATTTACTTATGAGAATTATGGCTGTAATCATTACTAAACTCAAAGGCGCAACAGACCATAAGGGCCAAGGCCTACTGCGCCTATCTCAGTTTTCGTGACCTCAGGAGCTGAGGTGCATATGCAGATG